AAAAAAAAAAAAAAAAAAAAAAAAGACAGAAAATAGCAGATGCCGTCAAGGATGCAGATAAAAGGGAATCCTTGTACACTGTTTGTGGAAATGTAAATTACTACAGCCCCTATGAAAAACAGTGTGGAGGTTCCTCAAAAAACTAAAAATAAGCTGGGCATTGTGGCATGTGCCTGTAGTCCCAGCTACTTGGGAGACTGAGGCAGGAGGATCACTTGAGCCCAGGAATTTGAGACCAGCCTGGGCGATATAGTGATGCCCCATTTCAAAAAAGAAAATACTTCACTGGCAAGTGACACATCAGCTATAAAAGAAAGAAAACTAAAAACAGAACTACCATATGACCCAGCAATCCCACTACTGGGTATGCATCCAAAAGAAAGGAAATCAGTATATTGAAGAGATATCTGTACTCCCATGTATATTGCAGCACTATCCATCATAGCCAAAATATGGAATCAACCTAAGTGCCCATCAACAGATGCATGGATAAAGAAAATATGATGCATATACGCAATGGAATATTATTCAGCCATAAAAAAGAATGAAATCCCGTCATTTTCAGCAACTTGGCTGGAACTGGAGGACATTATGTTAAGTGAAATAAACCAGGCAGAGAAAGACAAATATTGCATGTTTTCACTCATATGTGGGAGCTAAAAAAGCGGATCTCATGGAGGTAGAGAGTAGAATGGTGATTACCAGAGGCTGGGAGGGGAAAGAGGGAGGAGGGACAAAGAGAAGTGAGTTAAGAGACACAAAAATACAGGTACATAGAAGGAATAAATTCTACTATTTGATAGCATAGTAGGGCAAATATAGTTAACAATAATCTATTGTATTATATATTTCAAAATAGCTAAAAAAGAAGTTTTGGAATGTCCCCAGCACAATGAAATAATAAATGTTCAAGGTGATGGATATCCCAATGACCTCGATTTGATCATTACACATTGTATGCATGTATCAAAATATCACATGTATTCTGTAAATATGTATAACTATTATGTATCAATTTAAAAAAAAGAAAATCCAAAGGACTTTAGTAAAAAAAAAATCTTTAATAAGAGAATTTGGATTCATGATAAATAAAGAACAACAAATAATGTTTTGTATTATAGCCATACATG